AACGTAAACGAGGCATCACCAGTCCAGAGACTGATGATTGATCATGGATTGGTTGACCCTTTCAGAACGATGCACCCTACAGCGAGATCCTTCACTCTGGTAAAAAAGAACCACGCTAATCACATTGCCTTCTCGAGAATAAACTACTTCCTAGTGTCTGGGACAATGATGGGGGCGGTGAAGCAAGCGGAGATCCTGCCTCTAGCACCCTACTCAGGACTGGACCACAAGCCCATAGAAATCACTATATCCTTTGAACAACGAGTAAGGAAAGGCGCGGGTTTTCACAAATTGAACAACTCCCTCTTTCTGAGCCAATCTTTCCAAGAAGAGACGCAAAATTTTTGGAAGGAAAGATGCATGAGCCTTTTACCTACCATGGACAGGAGAGACTGGTTCATAGAAAGCTACTCCCTTCTAGCGAATGAGGTGGCGGGCATGTCAAGGAAACTGGCCTCTATTAGGAAACAGAGAAAGCGGAGGCTGGAGGAGGCACTAAGGATAGCGGAACACAACCTGAGGGATGACCCATCTTCGACACTGGCATATTTGAGAAAGCAAGAGAAGTCTTAGAGCTAGCAATGTGGAAAGGGTGGGAGTTAAAGGATCTGCAAATAAGAGTCAGAATGTGTGAATATGAGCTCAACGAATCGATGTCCAAACACTTCTTCGCACGAATTAAGGCAAATACAAGAGCGGCCACAATAGAAAAACTTAAAACCCTTCACAACCCAATGGCAACAGTGGAGACTAGCGAAGAAATTTTAACAGTGGCAAAGGAGTTTTACCAAGAATTATACCAGACCAAGACCCAAATACCTACTCCAGGCAGTACTCTGGAAGCAAGACAAAGAATGCTACAATATTTGGAACAGACAATATCGAAAGAACAAGCAGAAGAATTGGACAAACCCCTATCATTGGACGAGCTTCGGCTAGCCCTCATGAGTATGAGAAATGACAAGACACCAGGCATAGATGGGCTGACAAAGGAATTATGGGAAAAGTTCTGGCCAAATTTAGGGGTGGACCTTTTGACCTTCTACAGAGACAGTTTTTGAAAAGGGCGGCCTAGGCAGCATATTAAGTAGCAGTGTGGTCACGCTACTATATAAGAAGGGTGACAAGGAGGACATTAGGAACTATAGACCTATTTCCTTACTAACCCTTCCGTACAAAATCCTGGCAAAGGCCCTGGCGGCTAGAATCATGAGGATAACGGACAAATGCTTTCACATAGACCAGACAGGGTTTATCCCGGGGCGCTACATACTTGACAACGTGCTCACTCTAAATGAAGCAGCCAACAAAGTTAAGCAAAAAAGAATAAACACAGCCATACTCTTTTTTGATTTTGAGAAAGCATATGATCAAGTCAACTGGGCCTTTATGGACGCAAGCATGGAACGCATGGGGGTGGGACCAATATTTAGGAAATGGGTCCAAACCCTATATAACAATGCCTCTGGTTGTGTGCAGATTAATGGTTTCTTGTCTGATAACTACCCAATCTCACGATCAGTAAGGCAAGGTGACCCGCTCGCTCCCTCAATCTTCCTGTTTGTGATGGAAACCATTGCCTCCTTCCTACGGAACGACCCGTCCATTCACAGACTCCCAGAAGTCAATGTAGGAACAGCGCACCATTTCAGCTTTCCGACAGTAATTTTGTTCGCGGATGACATGACAGTACTGATTAGAGCGTCAGACTCATCCTTTAAAGCACTGTCCAAGGCAATGGAAGCCTTCAGATTGGCATCAGAAATGAAAATCAACTGGATAAAGACCATAGGTTGGTGGCTGTCTGACGAACAAATCCCTAACTTACAAGGACCGGAGGCTGACATGACCTGGGAAACACCGGAACCCCCTACCCGCTATCTTGGTATTCGCTTGACACGGGATGGGCTGGCATCCTAGATGGCCCATAATATGCTGTCAAAGCAGCTAATCAAGCTGGTAAGATGGGGTGATACTTTTACCTCACTGTTCGGTCGGGTTTTAACTCTCAACGCGTCAGTGTTTTCCATGATGTGGTACATTGCGTCAGTATGGACAATTCCGGACGATTCACTAAAGGAACTAAATCGGGTGGCAAGAACATACCTCTGGACGGGCAATCCGAAAAAGGGAAGCTGTATCCCTAAAATAGCATGGCATTACATCTCACGAAAGCCCATAGAAGGGGGTTTAGGCATCATTGACCCAAAGTGTGAGACGAGAGCCCTTCAAGTCAAATGGATAGTCCGGCTGCTGATGAAGCCAGGTACGGCGTGGAACAAGCTGGCCCTGGACAGCATTAGGGAGTTAGCCCCGGTACCATCACCCAACAACATGACAGGAATATTCTGGGTAATGAACAAGGAATGGTCTTTGAAGAACGTGAGAAGAAGATCCAGGCGAGGAATAGAACAGAACCCAGCAAACCGACAAACTTCGTATTGGATGGCTATCATCCGGATTTGGAGGGAAATAATGCTGAAAAAGACCAACCGACCGAAATCAAAAGACGAGGTACTAAGACAACCTCTTTTTGGCAATGAATGGCTGAGATCTGAAAGTGATGAACCTTTGTTTTTAGACCACAAATGGCTGTCGTGGGTAAAGAATGGCGTCTGGAGGATCAACCACTTATGGAACGAAGAAAAGAAGGAATGGGTAACGGAACAGGATTTAAACATACGTCTGAAGGGATGCCACAGGAGAGGCCTGAACCTGCAATACATCACTAATCTGATCCCTCAAGATTGGGAAGACATACTGGCACAAGAAGGGGACTGGAGAAGTGGAGACTGGGGAGTCGAGGTGCAGGAAAACCCTCCGTCAAGGGCTTTTCAGTTCTCACATTCACAACAAGGTGCTACTACACAAGCAGTATTCACCTCTTTTCCGGTTGTACACTCCAGAGACGGAATGCCGTCGATCACAAACACCAACGTCGAAACTGTAGTCATGGAGTGCTTTCTGCTCAGGAAAGTAAGAGTTTTAGGAACGTGGCCGAAAAGCATCTACAGATTCGATACGGCGCTGCGTAACTTGGAGTTCGACCCAGGGGAGTGGGCATGGAAACCAGATAAGAAGGCAAATATTAACAAACGCACACCCATACAGGACTACACGGTCAAACTAGGTTATAAATTAATGTTAAAACCAAAAGACCCAGAACCGGTTATCAAAATCAGGTGGCAAAGACTGTTAGGCCAGGAAGCCGACAGCATCACGCAAATTCCATGGAAAACCTACAAAGCGACCAGACCTGTCAAAATCAGAAGCCTCCAGTGGCTAATAACATATGCAGCCTTGCCAGTTAATCAATGGTTACATGTCAGGCGGAGAGGTTCTAACCCAGACAACTCTGATATATGTAAGGTTTGTACAGAGAATGTAACAGAAGACATAACACATTGCTTAGTGCACTGTAGGGAGGCGACGGATTATTGGGCAAGAGCCGAAACCCTCTGGAACTCCCTGTTCCTTTCCCCTTTTCCTGAAAAACCCATCCAAATCCTTCTTCTTATTAACATACCCCAACAACGCTGGAAAGCGGAAAAAGTCTGGTTCAGACTGATCAGGAAGGTGACCCTTTGGGTCATATGGAAGGAGAGATGCAGCAGAACGATCGAAGAAATATCCAACTCTCGCGAATTGGTCTGGGCGGAGACAAAGACAATGATTCAGGCTGAGATTTTATGCAGATGGCGGAGGATCAAACAGTCATGGTCCGAAGATGAGGAACAACGAAACAAGGCCAGACAGAATTTCAGTAAAGTCTGGTTGGTCGACGACAAAGTGGCTGAACTGAGGGACGACAACATTCGCTGGAAGGACTGGCATATCTCAAATGCAGGAGGAAGAGAGGGGCAACAGAGTACAATGCAGGGACAAGGTTCCCCTTTGTCAGATTTTTAAAGAGAAAACGCTCAACGAATATCATCACTTCCGGTGAAGGACAGCCAGGGATGGTGATAGGCCTAGGAAAGGAGGGAACGTGGGAGAAAGCTGGACATTTCGGAGAAAAGGATAGTGTTGGACCATGAACGGAGCTTGCAAAGGGAATCTTAGCACAAACGTCTGTAAGCAAATGAAGTCCTGCTAGGTCTAAGGTTGATGTTTCGGAGGACAKGAACACAGACTGAGGRTTTAGGGTTTAAGTCTTGACGGTTGATCTTTCAAAGGGGAAGAGAAGTGTGTAGGGAGGTAACAGGTCGACGAAAACAACGGATGAGCTCCTTCCAAGGTAAGTGGCGCTATCTAGCTGATTCAGAATCCAAGTCTGAGAGGGAAGAGAGGGACAGGGCAAGCTGACAGTCAATCCTCCACCGCGGTGGCGCAATCAATGCTGCTCAGGGGTCCTTCGCCCTGACGGAAGGAAGCGTGTGTGTCTGTATATATTTTGACTTGCCGGGGGAATAGGAACCGGACTGACGCTCCCCAGAATAGAAGGAGCCAGGACCTTAAGGCCCTGTTTGCCAAAAAAAAAAAAAAAAAAAAAAAAAAAAGTAATTAGTAATGACCAATTACCCATTATAGGTATGAGCTATACCTGGCTGACTGGTACACACATGCAACTCTTAGAGAACAGATCATAAGCTCATAGCCTCATAGGCTCATACCCTTATGAATGTTAGGGCTAAATTAATCCCCTTCAAAAAAACAAAAAAAGTTTAAAAAACAAAAAAAACAAAAAAGACAAAAAAAAACATAGCAAAAATTAGAAATAAATAAATAAATAAAATACAGGTATGCAATATGGTTCAGTGTCAACAAACATGTTTTATAAACACAAGCTGATGCCGTTGCTGTTCCCGACACCTGCCACTACCTCCCCAGGAGCAGTCTCAAATTGCTCCTGCTGCTGCTGTTGCTGCTGCTGCTCCTATTTCTGTGACTTCTCATGTTATTCCCCCAGGTGCCACTGGTACTCTTTTTCTTTGTTTGGCCTTCAAGTTTTTAAAAAGTCGGACCGTTTCTCGATCCATGTGTGTCATCCTTGCACAGGGGTCATTCTAACCTTCTGCGTATTGTGTGCAGATGTTGGGCGTCCACCTACTGTCGCGCCTGGGCATGCTCCCTGTGGGCCTGTGCTACTCCTCCCTTTGTACCTTCTCCTGATCGCTGTGTTGAAAGTTGCAATCCTTCCTCTTGCTGTCTCTGCAGCTCCTCCCTTTTTTCCTGCTCCTGCTGCCACTCCTGCTTTTTCTGCCCACCCCTCCGTCAAGTGACTCAATTCCTGTTCCTGTCCCTGCTACCTCTCCCGCCCCTGCTGCACTTGTTGCTGCTTGTACTCCTCCTACTCCTACTCCAACTCCTACTCCAACTCCTCCTCCTCCTCCTCTTCCTCCTCCTCCTCCTCCTCTTCCTCCTCCTCCTCTTCCTCCTCTTCCTCCTCTTCCTCCTCTTCCTCCTCTTCCTCCCCTGTACCTGTTGCTGTTACCTGTGTTCCTGGTCGGACTCCTGGTTTTCTCCATTTCGGCTATTCCTCCTGTCTTCGTTCCTGTTCCTCTTCCTAATCCAGCTGCTTCTCATGTTCCGCCTCCTGTCCAGTGTCCTGGTCCTGTGGTCCTTTCTTCCTGCTTCCCGGCCTTTCTTGTTGTTTCTCTTCCTGCTCCCACTGCTCCTGGAGCAATTTCATGCAGCCCTGCCATGCTTGCTTCACAAAAACGTTATAGAAAAAATAGAATCAGTCGTTCTTTCTGGTCCGAAATCATACACATGCCCGGCACTGGTGCAGCTCTGCCGAAAGTGGTGAAGGGTTCGAGTCCCTCATCACTTTGAACTGGTACCATGTTGAACCATGTGGTTTTGTCTATGACGGACGGGTACTCAACCATGGTTGATGCCGGTTAACAGCTCTTCAACCATCACGCCACTCACCAACTATCAAGTATTTGTACAGGACCCATAGACCCCCTCCAACAGCCGCTTCCAATACGAAATTACGCAGGGTTTTCACTACCATACCGTTGCCGTTCCAGGAAGCGCCGTCGCCATTGCGAGAGGCGTTCCTGGCTCCTACTAGATCGCTGAACCGTAAGCGGCCTTGATCGTGTGTGAGTGCGTAAATGACACCCTTTAAATGACCCTTCCCGATTACGCCGACAACCAGGCGGGAGCCATTAACTGCCTTGCTCCGCTTTAAGGACCATGCCAAATACACATCTCGTTCGTTAATCAAGGGTCTAATCAACGATGGGAACTGTTTGCCGACCTCTGAGAATACTGCTGACAATGCGTCGTCAGACGTCATCATCCGTGCCATGTCCTCTTTGACACGCATGGAGGCGTCCTCGCCCGAGGATCCTTGCAAGAGAATGAAGGCAAAGCTTACTCTTTCCCGCCAGCTCATAGCATTCCATGCACGTTGTAGTGTTATTTCGATGGGTCGATCTCCTAAAACCAACTGCGCACCGACTTCTTCAGCTGCAAGCCGCGCTGCACGGAACTCCTCCCCTGGCGATACTCTAGTCGATGCAGATATGCGTTCGGAGATTGTTGACATCAACAACCGCATGGCGAGAGCTGAGCGGCCGCCGAGTTGCAGGCTGCGAGCCATGGCTGAGACGAAGCTCTCCCCTGACAAGGACATCAGATTGGATTTGGATGCTGTCTTTCCCCCTTCACGCTGCGCCCTGCCTGCGGCACCCCCGTCTCCTTCCCGCTCGTCGGGAGTCGACCTGCCATCGCTGCTGTACATGATTCCCGCCCGGCTGCGGCACAGCTCCACAACTACGTTCTCCGGTCTCACGGTGCTGATCACACGGGACACATCGTCGGCCGACTTGCTCGACATATGCGCAGTTCCCATGATCATAACCACCTCCGGCTCCCTGTACCCGTCCACCCGGCGCTCCACGTAACCCTCTGGCCTTGGGACAACGACAAGGCTCCCTTCCTCGACCAGGTCCATCAAGTCAGGATAGAACTCTGCGACCATGGACCTGGTCTTTTCAGCGGTCTCCAGCCGATGATCGTACTCTTCAGGCGGGCCTTCAACTTTCGGAGGAGGAGCGCTTTCCTCCCCATCCGCTTCCGGAAGCTTCCCAACACCATCCCCATCTCTATTACGAGCAGCCAATCGGCAGGCAGATGAGCGGCGACCGCCACATATGCCCAGCCACTGCTGCTCACTCCCCATCCTACCAACTCTGCGTCGTCCGCACCTTAACTGCCCGTTCCACCATATCGGCCAGCCATGCTGCTCGCAGGCAAGGTGGCGAGAGCAGCACCATCGCCCTTCCCACCCTACCTTCCCTCTTCCTGGATCAATACCATATAACCCATCCACGTAGCGGCAACAGAATGCTGAATCTTTCGACGTTTGCACAGGCAGAATCCAATTATGGCAATTAGCAGTGAGGGTCTTGAACCGGTAGATGGATGGAAATCCACACTCAGTGCCCAGCAACGGAGCTTTGCCTATAGATCCCAGTGCTGCCACACATTGCAAACTGAGTGCAGACACGTCGTTCCAACTCCTCATGGATCTCCCAACTGGCAGACTTCCCTCCTTACATCTCAGCTGCAATGCAGAACTGTGTCTCTCAAACTGGCAGAATCGGATTTGACCCTCCAGAGGAAAATGAATTGCTCGGGTAGATGATGGTGATGAGCTGATGAGGGACAGCCATGCCATTTTCTACTGCTCGATAGGGCATCAACTCCTCATTCATTGTAAATCCCAGACGTGGAGATAATGCATGCCATCCACCTGCAGCAAGGACTACGGCATCGGCATATGATATTGTCATGTTGCTCCAATCTCATGTGGCTCTATCTCGCATATATATTTATGTTGCTCCAATCTCACATTACGGTTCTCTCTCTCTCTCTCCCCCCC